TGGGGTTAACTGGTAATAGAGCTGCTCACTTCTGATTTTCTAGTTGGTTTCTCAGTATTGTTGTAGTGAAAAGATTCTATATAGAATCCTAAGGACAAAAAAACTTACATTTAACTGTGACCCCAAGAATAATCAATATCTCTATTAACAGTGACAAGGGCTTCATCTTCTAAGCAGCTCCTCTTCACGCCAACAGAGACAGAACTAGGTGGCTGGCCCACAGGCTACTTCTGCTCAGTTCTGGGGTGGGGCAGTCAAGACTTGGTTGCTAAGAAACCATTTCCTCATTGGTGCACCAATGGGCTTCCAGGACGTTCATTTAAGATGGAATGAAGGCAGCTACTCTTCAGAGCAGTCTGTAGGAAGGAACCACATTGAGTCTGCTCTTTCTCTGGCTGGAGACAATGGATCTAAATTAATTATGTGTTGCTCCCTGTTACAAAAAGGAACCGGAAGCACTTTTTTAAGCACCCACATTAATGCTCCTCTGTGCAGTTACTTGGAAGTTCTTTTGCTTGAATTTACATAAAGTGAACAAATTTCACAAATTTGGAAGTTCTTATTTGTACATGTATAATCTGTACTTACAGGAAACTTCAAGTACACAAACTCATGTGACATCAACCCTTAACCTATCACCTGTAGAATGTACAATGAATACGTGGATCACAGCTGCTTTGTTCCCAAGCTAGATCACGATCTTTATCCTTTATTCAAATTAGGAACTACTGAGGTTTTACTAAGACAAAGGTAAAGTCTTTGTCTTAGTGAAAAATACCTTTGTTACTACTTCAAACAATATGGACATTTAACAAGCATCCTAAGGCTGCTATAGATCAAAGTAGTCATTTAAGAAAAAACATGGACATTCTAAGAACACTCAGGGAGTCATCCTAGTTAAGAAACTGTATCTACAACTTTGTACAGTGTGTCCAGATAATTACTTCAGAAATTTTATTGTCATAAATATACAGGTTTACTTCCTTTGTTAGTTTCCCATGGATGGAGTAAAAAAAAAACATAATTTTGAATATCACAATTATATTTTCTTATAGTTCTAGACCCAGGAATCCAAAAGGCTTCTTACTGACCTAAGGATAGTTCCATCTCGAGGCTCTTGGGAGGAATCCATTCTTTGCCTGGAATTTACCATCTTTTAGTGGATGCCAGCACTTTCTGTCTCGTGGCCATATCACTCCAATCAATGTTTCTCGTAATCCATGTTACTTGTCTTCCATTCTTTACGTCAGTTTGTTGCTTAATAATAGGAACATGCATCCAACAGGCATTGTTGTCATTGTGACAGTCCTCTAGATTGTCCTGGGAAAAACCCAAATAGGATAAGCCAATCACTGCTGTTGGCCTCTTGATAAAGTCAAGAGATACAGTAAACAGATGTTTCAAGATATTAACACAGTACAGTGTTATATATAATATACATTTTTTATAAATAGGATTAGCACACTAAAATAATAATAGTTTAGAAAATATATGAAGCATTAACAGTCATTTGTTGTCATTAAGGATAATACTGTATGTGCAATACTTTTCCATGATTTTCAATGCAGGAATTCTGCTGGCAAGAGCATCACCACCAACACATGGTGAGTAACATTGTGCTATGACATCACCAAGTGAGTGGAATCCTTCAGCTCCATTACAAGGTTATGGAGCCCCTAAAACATAGTACTCTACTGCTTGTATTGCTACATGGTTCATGACCATAATTTAATCTCCCTTTACTTTCTTCTTACAAAAATCATTGTGATTATCAATAGGATTTACCAACATAATTCAGGATAATCTCAAGAATCTATACTCTTCTCTATAAAGTCCTTTTTGCCATATAAAATAACCTTCATGGGCTGGTGTAGTGGCATAGCAAACTAATCTTCTACCTGTGGTGCTGACATCCCATATGGCACTGGTTTGGTCCTAATTGCTCCATTTGTGATCCAACTCTCTTTCAATGGTGGGAAGGCAACAGCAGATGCCTCAAAACCTTCTGCACCCATGTGGAAGACCCAAGAGACACTCCTGGATCCCAGCCTAGGACTGGCCCAGCTCTGGCCATTGTGGCCATTTGGGGAGCGAACCAAAAGAAGGAAGATCTCTCTGTCTCCTTGTCTCACTATAATTATTTCAAGTTAAACTAATAAATCTTCAAAAAATGAAGTACCTTTCACACATTCCAGGCATTAGGATCTGCATATCTTTGACACTATTGTTCAGAGTAACTTAGTTCCTAATGTGTTTTGTTTCACCAAGGGATTTAAAAATAGTATATTCCTAACTTTTGTATTTCTTTAAATTGCCTAGATGCAATTTTTAAAAAAATGGTTTCATGTGATATCTATTAAACACTTTTCAAAAAATGCTTTTTGGTCCAAATTTGAATCCAGAAGTTTCAGTAATAATCTGGCCTCCTAAGTCACTGAGATTGAATCAATTTGACCCATGTTCTCCTGCTTTTCTTCCTTTTTATTTAGTAATTTTAGTATTTTTAGTATTTTAAAATAGTTTATCCTAAAAACATGAAATGGTCTTTTGCATGTGTATTTTAAGCCCAAATTTTCTTTTTCACCTTTTAAAAAAAGATTTGTTTATTTTTACTTGAAAGAGTTATAGATAGAGAGAGGGAAAGAAAGAGAGAGGAGTGAGAGAAAGAAAGAGAGCTATCTTCCATCCATTGGTTCACTTCCCAAATGGCTGCAATGACCAGAGGTGGGCGGGTCTGAAGCTGGGAACCAAAAGCTTCCTCTGGGTGTCCCTCCTAAGTCAGGGGCTCAACCTTTGTTGTTTCCCCAGGCTATTTGCAAGGAACTGGATCTGAAGTGTAGTAGGCAGCACTTGAATTAGAATCCATATGGGATGCCCCTGCTACAGACATGATTAGCTTATTATGGTACCATGTTAGCCCCCATCAGTTTTAATTCCTTATAAATAGCATTGCCTTAACATAAAAAAGTTACGATTATTTTGGTTTTAGAGAAGGGATGATCTACAGTTTAATGGTTCTTAAAAAGCACAGCCAGAAGTACTGGTCCTAGATTGGAGTGCAAACAGCTTCCCTGATTACAGGGAAAGAAAAAAGTGTCCATTGTGAAACATGTTCCTGCAGACACCTTACACATAGCACTGTGAATAAGAACCCAGTATCTTTTTCATGAAAGTTGTAACTGTCAGAGCATTGCCTAATATCGTTATTCTCCTTCCTAACCATTCTCTGAAACTTTCACCTTTTCTTCCTAATCTTCCTATTGGCATCACTCCATTACCAATTCTTATTTATTCTACTTTGATAAATGATGGAGCAAGAATGACAAGCAGATCCAAAGCTCCCCACCACTTTTGGGTTCCTGGCTTGTACGACCGAAAGCAGGTTCCAATCCCTGCATCACTGAGACACATTTGCACCTGCTGCTTTATTCCTTAGACACCACCTCAGCTGTCAACCTACACAGGCCAAGCTTGAAAAAAGCCTCATTTAACGCTCAGCACTTAAGGACCCTGGGTGTGTAAATCCCAGTCTGTGAGAGAACAGAGCTTGCTAGCAGGTGAGAGGTGGGAGGTGGGAAGTGGCTCGCCAGTTTTATATCTGAATAAAGCCATTCTGGCTGAAGTGTGTCATGTGCCCACTATCAATAAAATCGCTTGAATCAATGCCCTGATTCTATTTCTACTGTCAATGCATGGATGCACATTTTGATTACTAGCTCAAATGTCCTTTTCTCATGAAAGTCTTTCTCCCGGCCAATTAAATGTTTATATATTTCCCAGCACTAAAATAGAATGAAAACAATGACAAAATAAAACATTGTTTTTAACCTCATGATTCATCCTTCTGAGAGTGTCCCATTACTGACAAGATGCTATTCCTTATACTTCTTCATGGGCTCGCTCCCTTTTTCTCTTTGAGAATGATGCGCTCCAGACAATTGTCTTCCTAACCCATGTCACACAGCATCTGAATTGTGGACAGCACGCCCTTTTACCACAGCACCAAATTAGCCTTGCAGATGGTCTCCTCGTCAGAAAAAAAAAAAAAAACCAATAGATTTGAGGAGAGGAGGGTTCTAAACGTGTTCCTAATTCTAGGTACCCCACCCCTGTCGTGGACTTTATGGGAACACATTTTCAGAACTCGAACAGATTAGCACTGCCAGCATCACTACCTCGATGAAGGAGTAAGATGAGACAACCTGTCTCCGGTGAATACGCACACGAATCTGTTGTGCTGTAACACTTGGTACTTCTAAGTTTTGTATTCCTAACTTTCTGGTTTTCAAATCTTTTGAGCAGAGTGGTTTATTAGTGTTCTTTCCAAACTTCACCAAAGTGCCATGAAATGAGTTACTTTCACTACAAGGTGAAGGAACTCACCGCGTGGGTCCTGAAACTCTTTCCCAATTCTTAAACTTCTTTTGGTCTTATTTGCCCACCAAGAATAAAGCTTCGAGATTCACTGGTAGAACGCCCCCTCTGACAAGGCAGTCCGACCGAGCGTGGATAATTCGCGCTGCCTCAGCATCTTCTCTCACCTCACCTCCTCAGACACCTGAGGGAGCTTCGGCACGTTCGCGCCCCTGTCAGTCACCGGGGCGCACCTGGCCCTGCAGGCCACGCCCTCAGGCGCCGGCTCACGGGGGAGGGTCCAGCTCCACGCCCCGCCCCGTCGCGAGGCCCTTACCGGCCCCTTCGCTCCCTGGCTCCGCCCTTCCCAGCTCCCTAACGTCCTCCGCGTCGGGCCCGGGCCTGCGCCTGCGCCTGCGCTCTGGGGCCGAAGTCCGGGCGCGCCTTGGCCAGATCCCGGAGAGCGGCGGGCGCTGCAGCCAATGGGCGACGTCGCTGCCTAGCGGCTGGAAGGCGGGGCCTGCGCGGGTGTTAGGTTAGCGCGAGGCGTGACCTAGTTGACAGGCTCTGAGGTGCTGCTGTGGCGGCGGCCGCGGGGCTGAGGCGGGCGGGAGCCGGAGCCGAGCGCGGGCTGAGGGAGGAGGGCGGCGACTGGAGAGCGGCGAGCGGCACGGGACGCGGTGCCTCTGTCACTTTTTTTTTTCCCTTCCAGAGTGCCCGCTCCCACTCCACACACACACACACACACACACACACACACACATACACACTCACACACACCCTGTTTGCCCGTGAGCCTGGGGAACTTGCAGCTTAAAGCCAGCCACCCCCACGGCAACATGTACCCCAGCAACAAGAAGAAAAAGGTGTGGAGAGAGGAGAAAGGTAACCGGCCCGTCGAGTCCTGGGGAAGGGGGGGTGGTCGCGGGGTGGGGGGCTGGGGTGGGGGCGGGGGGTCAGGCCGCCCGAGCTCCCGCCTCGCGCCCTCCCGCCCGGTGCCGCCTCCCTCCCGGTGTCCGTGTGTACACACGCGCACAGGCGCGCGCACGCCGCCCAGCACGCGCCGCCCCCGGCACCTGCAGCTCGCGCACGTGTGGGCGCACGCCCCTCCAAGGGCCGAGGCGGGGTGTCCCCTGTCCGGTCACCTTGTCCTCGCCAGCCCCGGGGACCCCCAACCCCCGGTCGTTCCTCGGCTTGGGCGGTTCTCGGGCTCGGTACAAGTTCTAGAAGACCCCGGCCGGGACTTTGGCACCCCTGGCTGGGGTGTCCCATGCCTACTGGCACACTGGGGCTGCAGGTGCCGCTGCGCCTCGTTCAGGATTTCCTCACCTCTGCTACAGGCATTCCCCTCAACTCTCAGAGCTTCCCCCCCAGCTTCGGGTTTTCAGGGCTCCCCTTGGCCGCCGTGATGTGACTTGGGAAAGCTGAAACAGTCCAGGGGAACCCTGGCAAGGAGCATCTTGTCTGGAAGGACAAATGCCTTCAGAGAAGTCTGCAGGGACTTTCCTCCGGAGTGTGCTTGCTGTTTTTATCCCGTTCATGCTCGCATTCATTCAAGTTGTTCAGGGTCAGGTTGTGTGACTGATGTGCCTCTGCCACCCAGGGTTGCCTTCCTCGAGGTCCAGCCAGACCAGCCACATTACAATGTGTCTTCCCCACCGAGAGCGCTCTCTGTCTCTCTGGCATCACAGAGGATATTCTGTTGTAAAACTTGAGTTTTTACCATTTTCTTCCTTCCTTTTCACACCTCTGTTCCTCTTTTTTTTTTTTAATAGACATAGTAAAAAAGTACTTGCACTTGAATGCTAGACACGCTACCTTGTATCAAGGATGAGGTAGTGTGCGGTTTTTCTAAATAACTCCTCTTTGCAGAAGAAGGATGGAGGGGTGAATTGGTTGAAAGTTGATTTTCTTGACAAAAGCTCTGCAAACCCTAATTTGCAAGTTGTGATTTTTAAGAACATGAGGGCTAAAACGGAAGAAAGAAGGGAATTAACGTGTGGGAAGCAGTCTTTTGTATGGGGCCTACTTCTTGCGAAGCTTGAGCGAAGGGCTGAGGAAATTCCTTTTTTTTGAAGATAACCGCTAGCAAGATTGAACATAATCGAACAATTAAAATGATCTTTAAAATGTTGAAAGATTAGCTTATACAACATTTTAACATGTTTAAGTGCTTATGGGCAGTTAGCTAAAAGTTCTGGTGTTGGAAAATAGTGTTTAAGGTAATAATCTGATAAGTAGTACAAAATTTTGTTTTGGTAGCAGCAGTTTCAACACACTGAACAAATGGCGAAAATTTATGCACATTTTTATTGATAGTTGTGAAACGTTTGCTTTGTATTATTTATGATAATGAACACAAAATAATGGAAGACATAGACATCGCCTCAATAGCATGAATCATTGATGAAGTTTTTGTGAGTACTTAAGTATTTTTCTGTCTTAATAGAAGACAATATTCCTAAAGCAACAATGTTATAATGGTTCCTCCGTTTAAATGCTGCACACTTGGACAGTGATAGCAGGGATTTAAGAATTTACATTTCATTCTATTATAATAATCAAGGAAATAAATTAATATTTTCTGAAGAAGCAAATTTACAAGAAGCCCAGTAACAGCAGTTTTTACTCACTGAAAACTGAGATCTTATTGCATAAAGTGTAATATTAAATAGTTGTAGTTTGAAATTTTTCGTGTGTATCTCAGGTTTTTCTTTAATCAGTGTCTGTTTTTGGAATATTAATGTGTAAAACATCGCAGCCACAGGAGCGGAACATTTCTAGTGCAGTAGTTGGAGACGTTGGCAGGGAGCATGGCCTTTTCCCTTTGTGCCACTGGAGAGCTGATAGCATGGTGTTTTGCAGCAGTTATTTAAATTTAAGGGAAGGCTTACCTACCTCGTTGAAATGTCAAGACATTCTGTAAACGTAGTTGTGTTTTAACTCTGTAGCATCTAATAAGTAGATCTATTTACATGGTTGCTTCTCAGAGAAGTGACTCATTGTAGAAGTAAGTGATTTTTTTAAAAATTAAAGTTTTATGTGATGCTAGAGAAACACATAACTGCATTGCAATACCATATGATAAATAAACTAGTGTTTTGAGTCCTAAAATTGAATATTGCAATCTGAATTATGTCATTGTTTTCTTGTTTTATGATTTATTTTGTTTGTTTTGTGACCACATTTAAGATTTTAAATAAACTGAATGACAGAGACCAGGTTTTGGTTTTAAATATTTCTTCTGACAAAAAAGTGTGAATTGCTTTGTAACATCTTCAGTCTCATCAGGAGTACTGTAACATCAGTTGGTGATCTGAGAGGAACTTTAGCATCTGCTGGTCGTCTACCATTAGGTCATAGCTCCGAGTTTACCATTCTCTTAAGTTCGTTGTTCCACCGAGACCCTGTTTCTCGGTACCCAATAGAGGATGTGACTGTTTCATTCACAGGGAAAATCAATACCACATGAAGCAAATGGCCCTAGCAGCCTCTTCAGAGCTTCATTGACCTGTGTCTTTACATGTCCTTTGGCTCTGTTCCCATCCTTAGGGGAATGGTTTTCTTTTTCATTCGTATAATTAACTCCCCTGCTTGGTCTGTATATTCTATCTCCTTTGTTCTTTGAGCTCTTGTATCATCAATTCATTCACTCTTGTGTGTGTTTAGTTTTCTTGGTGTCTTCAGGTTCCTCCCCACTGTAACAATACTCACATCTCCTGAAGGTGGTTTTGCTTCTCCAGGGTGCCTCTTTGTAGCTGATGGCTGCTCAGACTCTCCTGGACTTTAGTTACAGTCTAAGTGATTTCCTAAGCTCTTCAGTGACAGCAGTGTTGGAACTGATGTAAACACAGTGAACATTGAAGTTTGGTTTATGTGAGCAACACTAGTCAGTCTAAGTTGAGTGAGTTATCTCATTTGATGTGAACCACAAATCCTATGAAGTAGCGAACTGTGAGGTAGTTACTATAGAATCAGGAGCTAAGAGTGCAAGTTACCAAGGTTTGGCTCCTTGTTGTACTATCTGCTAGCATGGAACCTCATATTATTTGACCCTTTATACTTTCCTTGTCTGAAAGTTGGGAATAATAAGAATAATAACATTAGCAACTTTATAGGCTGCTGGGAAGATGATTTCAATGAAATTACAAATGTCAAACACCTGGTATATAGTTCTTTATAAATGATACTACTAATCATTATTTCCAAATTCCATTTCTTTTAAAATATTTTATTCTTAAAATCAAAATGTGCATTCAAAATAATGTTATCTCTACCACAAAGCTGTTACATTGAAAGTGTGTTTTATCAATTAGCATTATAGTATTGAAGAAATGCCTTGATGGCTTCCTGTCTTTTGCTATTTGTAAAAATTGTTTAATTCATATAGGCTTTATTTTATACCTTTATCAGAGTTCTCCTTTGTTTGAGTTTTGGGGTGTTATACTGACACAATAGATTATAGATGTTGCTTCAAAGACTAAATAATCTTATTTACTTCTTGGACTGTCACAAAAGAGTTTTCTTCCTCAGGCTATTTAAAATTTAATTTTTTTCCAACATGGAATAAATTTGATATGCAAAAGAGACAGAGAAAGCAATAGGAGAGGAAAGGTGAAAAAGAGTGCTGCGGTCAGCTGGTTCACTTCCCAGGTGTCTTAGGGCTGAGCTGCCTAGGCTGTACTTAGGCCTGATCCAGGACCTTAATCAAGGTCTCCCTCATGGGAGTCAGGAATCCAATTACTTGAACCAGCCCCACTGCTTCCCTGGAAGCTGAAGTCAGGAATCAGGAGCCAGAACTTGCTCTGACCAGCAGAGCCAGTAACCTGGACAGGGAGAGGGGCTGGGGATGAAGTACTGACAGGAGACCAGCGATGATAGAAGTCTCTGCAAGTCTCTCTTTGTTGCCCCTTCACCTCTCCTTGTATACTCTTCCCCCCACATCCTCATTTAGCAGGATATTGGATACAGGTGAGTCCAATTAGTCTAGGTGTTTTAAGCCACAAGCTCAGTTCCTGTTCCTGCCAAGGCTAAGGAGCACTGATCAGTTCCTTAGCCTGCAACAAGAACTGGGCATCAAACCTAGTGACTTCGATGTGGGTCATCCCAGTTTGTTATCTTTTAACACTCAGATATGGAGTCATTGAATTTGTATTTTAGTGTGTTTCAAGACCATATCAAGTCTTTAACATGATTAATATTTAAAGTGTAGAGTAATTCTTGAGCTTAAAATTAAATACAAATGAAGATTCTACTTTTGTTTTGCAAGAACGTTTACTGAAGATGACCTTAGAGGAAAGGCGCAAAGAATACATAAGAGACTATGTTACCCTGAACACCATTCCGTCTTGGAAGGAAGAGATGAAAGACAAGAGCCAAAATGATGGTAAGTTTCTCAGAGCATTTTTTAGGTAGATGCTGTTCTTGTTTCTTTCTGACTCCTGTATGACAGTTGTTGACAAGAATGAGTGATATTCAATAAATAAATAAATAAATGATACTTTTGTTATTTTGCTTATTTTTGCTTATAGGTTGATCATATTGTTTTTATTTACCTTTCATTTTTTAAGCTTCAGAAAGTGTATTAATATAATTTTTGTTCTGAAACATATCCTGCTTATTTATGGTACTTTCAAAGTTTTTGTTTTATTTTGCTTTGGTTTTGCCCTATCCTCCAATACTTGGAGCAGATACTATTAGGGATCTGGTATTTTGGTGTGATGTTTTAAATTTACTTTAATTAGTTTTATTTGCATTAGTTTTCTTTAAGAATTGAATACAATTATAAAAAAATTAGCAAGATTAAAAAAGTGTCAGTAGTATTTCACACAGTTTTAGAGGAAAATAATTAGCATATTATTTTGTACATGTGAAGCACTTACACGACACTACTACTTAAAAGTTTTTATATTTTACTACAATCAGTCTAGATTGTAGTAAGATATAATTTAACTTTTAAGGGTTAGAAAGGTATATGGGGAAGTTTCTAGAAAGACTATAATGACATTAATGTTTAATATGCTCAACTCTGAATTCATCTTCATTAGTGTTAATGATCTGAATGTCAGGTTTAGACAACAGAATACTTTTAAGGATATCCAACAATCGAGAAAGAAAAAGTTTTTTTTCAAAATAGACTGATTATGTTGATTTCACAGATTATGATCTTAGAGTTGTGAGCTGCAGAGGGTGCAGGGTACTATAACCCAGGAAATGAAGATCAGCATGGAATTTCAATGGAGAAAATCTGGAAAAAATAGCCAAATTAGGTTTTGATGTCTGTGAAAACAGCACTTTTATTTGCGGGTTTGAACTTTATACTGTTACAGCTTGTCAGTTTCTTGAGGGTGTAGTATATAATATTTTAAATGAATTTTGCCTCTTGAAATAAAAGTAGAATTCTGGTGTTACCAAAACAATTGGCAAAGCAGTCATTGAGGTATAGGCTGCATTGCTTAATGTGGGTGTTGCTCACCTCGGCATGGAAGGTTTGATTTCCTGTTGGCTGCCTCTTTTTGAAGTTCAGCAATAGCAATGTAAGGCAGAACTACCATGTTAAAAAAAACTCAGAATTGTGTATTCTCATAGATAGCCGAACTACGTCTCCTGCAATGGCAAAGACATGCTTTCAGAAGCAAAGAAATTGTTGTTTTCTGACCAAATGCTGTGTAGTTAATTGTCTTCCAATGTGAAGTTTTAAGTGCCCTCTATATTTTTTTCCTTCATATTTTTGATTTCGAAAGTCCTGCATGGGGAACTAGGTGATGTGATAGAAATTGTATTTCTGTAAGATAGTATTTTACTCTTTCCATCTAGCATTGGAAGTGTTATTTGCTTTAATGAATTAGAAACATTTTAAAAAGGAAATGAGATGGTTTAGTCTTCATTTAATATTTATTAATTTCTTTATAGATGCATATTACAAATGTACTTTCTTGTGTTTTTTACCAAGTTCTCAGTTATAATAATTAGGAAATTTTAGTGTTTTCACAGTTTAAATATCTTGTTAAATATAAATTTACAAAAAATAGGGGATCATTATACATCTGGCTATATTTGTATATTTTGGAATGTTTGTGCTGTTGTATATGTATATATATATGCATGAGTAGGTAGTGATATTTATAAATGTGTAAATTTTTTTGTATAGATGAAATTATTCATTTTATTTTGTACTGTATGACATGTAATCTTTTTATGTAAAAATGCATTGACAGTTTAATATCAGTTTTTGTAAAAATTCTATTATTTTCACCTGTCTCACATTTGGCCATATTTATTTAGTCAGTGTCTTAATTTGCTTCTATTTTTTTTAATTTTCCATGGTACAGTTTTGTAGGTATGGAAGTTCTTCCCTCTCCCTCACTTCTTCCCTGCTCATTTTCCTCCTCTCACCATTTTTTCCTGTATTATCACAGTGGTATATCCCTTTAGTAACAGTTTATCCTCTGCTATATAAATGTATCTTATGGCGAGGTATATATAAGCAAAGGTAGAAATTCTGATGTCATACTATAAAGACATATTTAAATGTTTCACTGGGAGTCTTTAGTTCTCAGTATGCTAGCCTCCATTGTATAGTTATCTATGAGAATATATGCTTTATGTTTGTTTACCTATTTCCATTTATTTTGTGCTTTACATAAATGCCATCATCAATTAGAAAAACATACTATATTTGTCCTGGTAATGGCTTGCTTCATTGAATATAATAGTTTCCAGTTGGAACTAATTTGTTGCAAATGGTAGTATTTCAGCTTTTTATAGCTGAGTAGTATTCCATAGAATAGATGAACCACAATTTCTCTATCCATTCATCTGATGACAGACATCTGGATTGTTGCCATGTCTTCTAAAAGTGAAATGTCAAACTATTAGAAGAGATCTATTTACAGTTGTTTTTTAGTTTTAGTTTGTAGGAAATGAACAACATTTTGAGTGCTGCATAGTATATGGATTTTAATGGTTTGTAATTACTTGTGGTTCAAAATTATTTTTGTGTTCATTTTATTGGAGAGAGGGAGGAGAGAGAAGATGAGAATGAATCTTTGCATCTGCTTGTTCACACCAGAAATCCTTATGTAACAGCCAGGGTTTGCTCAGGCAGAAACCAGAAGCCTAGAACAGATCTGAATCTTTACTGTGGGTTGCAGGGACCCAGGTGTTTGAGCTATCGTCTGCTGCCTCCCAGGATGTGAATTAGCAAAAACTGGTTCGGATTTTGAGTAACTGAAACTTGAGCCAGGAACTCCAGCATGGGATGTAGGTCCCCAAGTTGTCAATTTGACTTGTGCCCTCTACTCACCACATACTTGTTTTTTTTTTTTTAAATTAAACATCTTTTGGCTATAACTATGTTCACATGGGAAGGTCTTGGGCATTTTTAAAAGTATTTTCCTCATTTTGTTCAGATGTCTTTTAATTAAAAGCTTGTTATCGTAGTAGAAAACTACATAAAAAAGGTGGGGGATGTCAGAATGTTTGTAGTGATTTTTATTTTTACTTCTCTTAAAAGGAAATTAAAAATAACTAAATTAAAATTTGTTTATATGGAAAGGGAGAAGCAAGTAAGTAATATTATTGCTTTGACTTATACTGCCTTGATAATATGGAACTTTGTGTATCAGAACTAAGTATGTAAAATGATTATTGAAAAAAATCTTGTCTTAGACCTGGAATGGTCTTTTCTGTGTAGATTGGTGCAGTCAGTATTTTAAATAAGAATACCTCTGAGGTTGTGTACAAAGATAGTTCTTTTATTTTTAACAATTGACATTTATAAATAAATATGTATAAATATGTATATATATATGAGACAGTATAATGAATTTTCATGCATCATTACACAGTTTCAATAATAATATATGCTTGATTCTATTCAACCGGTAATAGTAGTCCCTGTGTCTTCCCTCATAATACTCATGTGTATTCTGTTGATTTTCTGTAAATGCATGCATATGTGTGTATCTGAAAGGAGGGACACATTTTGACATTTTAATGTAATGACAATATTATTATTATCTTTAAATCTCTTAGTGCAATTAAATAGCCGATATTCACTTTCCCTATATTTCTCATAAAGGAATTTTATTTTGTACCGTTAACTTGTTTGAATCAAGATCTAGAGTCCAATGTCACATTTAATTGATATGTTTAGTATGTGTCTTAATGCACTTAATTTTGTAAATTCTTCTTTATTGGAAAGGCAAATTTACAGCGAGAAGGAGACTACAAGATCTTCCATTCACTGGTTCACTCCCCAAGTATCCACAAAAGCCAGAGCCAGGCCAATCTGAAGCCAGGAGCCTCCTTCAGGTTGCCTATTGGGTGCAGGGTCCTAAGATTTTGGGGCATCCTCTACTGCTTTTCCGGGCCACAGATAGGGTGCTAGATGGGAAATCAGGTAGCCAGGACACGAATTGGTATCCATATGGGATCCTGGTACTTTGAAGGGGAAGGATCAGCCAATTGAGCAATTTTGCCTGACCCTTGCACTTTTGTTTTAAAGATTTATTTATTTTTATTGGAAAGGCAGATGTACAGAGAGGAGGAGAGACAGAGAGGAAGATCTTCTGCCTATTGATTCACTCCCCAAGTGGCCACAATGGCCGGTGCTGTGCTGATCCGAAGCCAGGAGTCAGGAACTTCCTCCAGGTCTCCCACATGGGTGCATGGTCCCAAGGCTTTTGGCCATCCTTGACTGCTTTTGCAGGCCACAAGCAGAGAGCTAGATGGGAAGCGAGGCTACCGGGATTAGAACCAGCACTCATACAGGATCCCAGCACTTGCAAGGGGAGGACTTTAACCACTACACTATTGTACCGAGCCTGACCCTTGCACTCTTAAACTGTTGTTATTTTTCCTCTTTTTTCTTTTATTATCCCTTATAATTTATTTGTTGAATTTATTAGGTTCCTTGTCCCCCAGAATTTTTCACATTTTGGATTTTTAAACTCTTTTGTCTGCTACCCAAGTGGCTATGAAGGCCAGGTCTGAGAACTGTCCAGTTGGGCTTAGGAACTCCATTTTGCCTTTCCCAGGTGTGACAGTCATCCAAGTGCTTGGACCATTCTCTGTCTCCTGGTATACAGAGAGGAGGAAAGACAGAGAGGAAGATCTTTTGTCTAAGCAGTCACAATGGCTGGAGCTGAGCCAATCCAAAGTTAGGAGCTGGGAGCCTCTTCCAGGTCTCCCACGTGGGTGCAGGATTCCAAGGCTTTGGACCATCCTCCGCTGCTTTCCCAGACCACAAGCAGGGAGCATCTGGATGGGAAACAGGAGCGTCGGAATTAGAACCGGCACCCGTATGGGATCCTAGCACATTCATGGCGACGACTTTTGCTGCTAGGCCACTGCACCAGGCCCTACTCACAGATTTTAGCAGCC